AAGACGACGCCGAGGACGCCCAACGCTATCCCTCCGAAGAGAAGATACTCCAGCGACGTGAACGACGCCGACCCGGTCCTCGTCGCCGTCGCGGAAGAAGAAGAAGAAGAGGACTCCCCGCACGTCTCGCCCTCCGCGGCGCCGCACGTCGCGCACGACCCCCCGCCGTCTTTCGCGTTCTTCCTCTTCTCCAGCTCGGCGTCCAACGCGGCGAACATCCCTCCCTTCCTCGCTTTGACCACCGTCCCTTTCGTCGCCGTCGTCGTCGCCGCCGTCGTCGTCGTCGTCGTCGTCGGCGGCGGCCTCGGACGCGCGATGGTCCGCTCCTCCACCTCCAGAACCTCCCCCCTTACGTACCACCGCGCCGACTCGATGATCTTCACGACTGCCGATTTCCCCATCAGCCGCGCGCGCTCCGCCTCTCCGCCCGGAAGCAACACCTGGACGTAGCTCTTCGTGTGCGCGACGAGTGAAATCCCGTCCTTCGCGATGTCCGTGACCCAGACGCGCTGCGTCGTCCCGACGAGCGCGCCGTGCGGGAGATAGGATTCGATGTAATTCGTGAGCTCGCGGCTGCGGCGTTTCACCTCTCGCGAGTTGACTTTTTTCATGCGCGCCGCGGGCGTCCCTGGGCGCGGGTAAAACTGCGACAGGTGCAGCTCGATGAAGTCGTACTTCCTGCACAGCGCCATCGTCATCTCCCAGTCCTCCTCCGTCTCCCCCGGGAAGCCGCAGATGATGTCCGTCGCGATCGTGATCCCCGGGACTCTCTCGAGCAGCGTGTCGACGACTTTGGGTCGGGTCGTTCCATACAAAAATAGTTCATCGGTCAGTTGAAACGAGGCGCGATCAAGTGTTGAAACCGAACGATGGGTGAAAAACTTTTGTACTCGTAGAACACACCTTTTTCAAAGTCGGCGACGACGTACTCGCGCTTCATTCGCCCGAGCACCGCGTCCGAGCCCGCCTGCACCGGGATGTGAAGGAACGCGTACACGCCCGGGTGGTGCATCGCCTCCGCGACCGCGTCGAGGTGCGCGAGGATGTACGGCGGGTTCGTCATCCCGAGCCTCAACATGCAGCTCCCGTCCTTCGGAAGCGCCGCCGTGACGTCTCTCAGCAACCGCGTGACGTCCGTCCCGAGGTCGATCCCGTACGCGCCCGTGTCTTCGCTAGACAGCCATATCTCCGTGACCCCCTCCGCGATCGCGGTCTGCACGCGAGCGACGAGCGCCTCGGGCGCGTACGACCCGAGCTCGCCCCGCGCGTGTTTGGTCTTGCAGTACGTGCACTTGCCGAGGCATCCCGTGGAGAGCGGCACGATCTCCACGTGTTCGTTCCTCCGAATCTTCGGCAGGTCCAACGCCGGGAGCGTCTTCTTCGCGAGCATACGCACGGCGTCGCCCGCGAGCGTGCGCTCCACGGCCTCGACGACGCGGTCGATCTGCGTGACGCCGAGGAGGGTGAGGTCGTCCAGTTCTCTCGCGTTTTTGTCGCCCTGCGGGACTGCGAACGTCGGGGTGGAGTTCAAAGGCGTCAGAAGCGGTGTTGAAAGGCGTCGAGGTGTGTCGGGATTGAAAGCGAGGGACCCTGGGCGGAGAGATGCGCAGGGGAAAGTCCTTAAGGATCGGCGTTCACCACGCCGACGCGGTCGTATGGGGACCAGTGTACAGCACGCACCGCAGCCGGCGATCACGAGCTTCTTCCCCGCCGCTTTGCCTCGTTCGATGACCGTGTTCATCGCGCTCTGCGACGGGTTCTTCACCGTGCACGTGTTGACGACCCACAGGTCCGCGTCCTCGGGCGAGGTCGTCAGCGTGTACCCGTACGCGCTGAGCTGCCCGGCCATGAACTCGGAGTCGCTGATGTTGTGCGAGCACCCGAACGTTCGCACGTGCACCTTCGCGCGTCCCGGGACGATGGACGCGGCGTTTGGACGCGCGAGCGCGAAGTCGTCGTCGTCGTCCGGCTCCGGCTCATAGGGCTCGTCCTCGTCGTCGTCCACGTCCACGTCCTCGAGTCGGTCCGGCGGGACGTCGCCGATCGCGGCGTTCGTCGCCGCGCACGCGCCGAGGCCGCCGCCGCGCCGAACGCCGCGCGATCCGCTCTCGGCGGTCGCGCGGCGCCTCGTCGCGACGATCGGCGGGAGGTCGCGCGTGACGCGGATCCCGTCCGACGTCTCCGCGCCGCCGATATCCTCGAGGTCTTCCACCAGGGTGCCCGCCTCGTCCGGCGGCATGACGCGCGGCGTCGTCGTCGCGAGCGGTTCGGTTCAGTTCAGTTCTGTTCTGTTGTCGCGCTCCTCGCTTCCTCCCTCAAGCCTGCGCCTCCTTTTCCGAGCGCCCGCCCCGAAAAACCAACCGACCGCGGCGCGGCGGCCCCCGAATTAGACCGTCGTTTCAAGGGTCCTCCGCGCGACACCCCACCCGAGTTGGATGTTCCGACGGGGGTTTTCTCTTGGTTTATAACTCAACGCGCGAGGCGTGATATTTCCAGAGGGAGTACGTCGGTCGCTTTATGAGAGAGCGTCTTTCGCGCGTGCGTTTTGCGCGAGCTATGATTCGCTAACGCGTCTCGTGACTTGGCATCCACTAATGAGAACGACGAATTGCGCAAAACCAAAAAACCAAAACCGAAACGAAAACCAAAACCCAACGTTTCGAGAAATTCGCCGCCCCCGCCCCTGTTATGTCACGTGCGGCGCGGAATCTTTCGCAGATTGTCCTCGTCACGCGCATAAAGCGTTCCAAAATCACTATCTTCGTTTTTGAGCGTCGTTTCCAGACTGCGTCCCATACAGGCGCGGGCGTCGAAAAACGACATGCAAGGGACGAAAAGTCGGCGCAAGGTCAGGGTTCGTGAGATCGGAGATTCTCTCGTTGAATGCGTCACGGAGTCCCGCTTGGTTCCATGTCTCCATAATCTCACACGCGGCGCGCGACACCTCGCCGGCGCCCTCCTTCCGTTCGCGCATCGCGACGTCGAGAACACGTCCTCACTGTCGTCTTCGAGCGCGCGTTGCCCCGTAATCGCGGAGTAATCTCTGGTGCGCGCGCCTTCGCGCGTTTTCCGGAACACATCCGCTGTTTTTCTGGGCCGGCGCTGCGCGAGGCGTAAAGCGTCGCGGACGGTGCCGGAACTCGCGCGGCGGCGCCGCGCGCGCGGTCGGAAAACGTCCGCGCGCGCGCGCGGACGGTTCCTCACGCCGTGAAGAACGTCCCGCGAGCGCGCGACGCGGTCACGCGACCGCTCGCGCGGCGCCGTCGCGGCGATTCAGCCGACGCGTCCGAAGTTCGGTTGTTCTGTGTTCGGGCTTCGTTCGCGTCCCAGAACCAGATCGTGCTCGCCCGCCGCTCTCCCGCGCGACGACGACTGACGATCTCCTCGCGCGCTCTTCGAAACAGATCAGATGGTCGACGCGTTCAACGCGAACTTTTCCCTCGACGGCCTCGGCCTCGAGCTCGGGCGGTGCGCGAACCCGTCCCCGCGAGCGCGCCGCGTCGCGTCCCCCCCCAACCGCCCCTCTCCCCTTTTTTCTAGAGGGGCGCGCGTTCGTTCTCTCGGGGGAATCGAGAAAAGCTTCGGCAACCCCCCCCCCCCCCTCTCGCGCGCGCGCGCGTCGTCGCGCGCGCGTCGTCGCGCGCGTCCCCGCGCGTCCCCGCCCCCCTCTGCGCCCCGTCGCTGACGTCGTCCCCCCCGTCTCGACGTCGCAGAAGCCCCGGGTACGGCGGCCTAGACATGCTCATCCAAGACCAGTGGACGTGCGTTGACACGACCTTTGGCGGCCACGTTTTTTATGCGACTAATTGCCCACTGCCGTTTGCGGTCTCAAATCGCGAATCTTCGCAGATCCGTTGTTGTAAAAAACCCAGGGTTTCGGTTTTCGCGAAACCAGCTTTTTTTTTTGAGAAAGCTTTTTTTTCTCCAGTCAACGACTGACCCCCCTCCCGCCTCCTCTCGCGACCTCCCTCCTCTCTCCCGATCGCAGCGTCGAGGACGACAAGCTCTTCGAGAACACGCTCGCGCAGTTCGGCGACCTCGACGGCGAAGACAGCTGGACGCAGTTCGGCGCGAACGTCCCCGGGAAGTCCATGGTCGGCCTCAAGCGTCGCTTCAACCTCCTCCAGGAGGACATCAAAAACATCGAATCCGGCCGCGTCCCGCTGCCGCACTACGACGCGAGAAACGACACCGCGCACCAACAGATGATGCAGCCCGCGCACCACGCGGTGCCCATCGCGCAGGTTGCGCAGAGCAACCCCACCGGCAACGCGAAGGCTTCGAGCAAAGGGTCGAGCGGACACTCGCCGAAGAAGGGTGGAGGATCCGGCGCCAACGCGAGCAAAAACGGCGCAAACGGCGCCAAAGCGAAGAGCGCGCCCGCGAAGACGACGGACCAGGAACGTCGCAAGGGGATCCCGTGGACGGAGGAGGAGCACCGTCTGTTCCTCCTCGGGCTCGCGAAGTTTGGGAAGGGGGACTGGAGGTGCGTTCTTCTCAAACTGGTCCCCATACGACCGCGTCGGCGTGGTGAACGCCGATCCTTAAGGACTTTTCCCGGCGTGTCTCTCCGCCCACCCCTCGCTTTCAATCCCCGCCCTCGACGTCTTTGAACTCCATCTGACGCCTTTGAACTCCACCCCGACCTCAGGTCCATCTCACGGAATTTCGTCATCTCGCGGACGCCGACGCAAGTCGCGTCGCACGCGCAAAAGTACTTCATCCGGCTCAACTCGATGAACAAAAAAGACAAGCGTCGGTCGTCGATTCACGACATCACGTCCGTCAAGGGCAGCGGCAAGGGCGGCAACGCGAAAGGCGCTGCGAACAACGACGGCGGCGGCAGCAGCCACTCTGGGAGCGACGCGAGCGCCAACATCGGCGGGACGAGCGCCGCGCTGCCGGTCGCCGCGCGAGGGGGGATGGGACACGCCGGCGGCGGGTACTACGCCTCGGGGCCCGTGCCTGTCGGCTTCATGCAGACGCCGGGGATGTACGGCGTGAACGCTCACGGAGGGATGTGATACGTCGCGGCGAAGCGAGCGGCGCGCGGCTGACGCGGGAATATTACACCCCGCGGCGGCGACGCGACGTCGGCTCGGCGAGGCGGCGTCTCTTAGGTAGTGTTGATACTTCAATTCGCAGGGGCTTGGGCGGGAGCGGGTGCGGGGGGTGAGGGAAACATCGAAGCAAGATCGAGGTGTATTACAAGGGGGGGACATTCTTTTTTGGGGGGTGGCTGGCGGCGGCGGCGAGCGATCGACCGATCGATCGAATCGATCGACGAGGCACGGCCACCCTCGGCACGGTGGGGAGGAGGGATAATAGGTGGGTTGGCGGCGGCGACGTATTGTCGTCCGTCCGTCGCGACAGCTGTCGATATTACGGTTGTACAGGCTGGCGCGGGACGAAGGACGGCATTCGTCCGCCCGCGCGGTGATGTATATTCAGAGCGGCGCGACTCGCGTCTGAGACGCGCGCGACCGTCTCGCACGTGTACGAAAAGGTAGCGATTAGGAGCGTGTGATAGAAGATCCGAGCACGTATACTGTAACATCGCGCGCGCGTTCTCTCGTCTCGTCGCGCGCGCGCCCCGCGCGTCGAGAGTGAGGCCTGTTCTATACAAAACGCGAAATCAGAGTAGGCTGTCTCGCGTTCAGTACACGCGCGCAGCGCGCGCGAGGCGAGCATCGCGACGACTCGCCCTTTCTTCGCGCGCGCCGCGGACGTCGCGTCCGCTATCGCTTTCTCCGTCTCCGCGTCGACGCGCGCCGCCGCCGCGGTCGCGTCTCGCGCGCGCTGCGATGCGAGAGGAAACGAACGAAGAGGACGAAGAGGGATGAAGCGCGCGGACGGGAGGGAACGACGGGTAGACATACAATCGATTCGACGACGACGCGCGAAGAGATCTGAGGACGTGCGCACCTCCGCGAGCGCGCGCTGGTACGCCGCCTCCCTCCGAGCGCGGTACGCCATCACCACCGCGTCCGCTTCATCTCTCGCGCTTCTCAGCCGTCGCTGCCTCGCTGCGACGACGACGCGGGGAGGGGGTGCGGGACGAGGTGGCACCTCGTTCATCAGTCGCGGTCGTCGGTCGTCGAGGTCGCGCCGCGTTCGTTTCGACGCCGCGCGACGAGACGAGACGAGGGCGCACCCTGCCGCGCGGCGTTCACGATCGCTCGCGCCTCGCGCCCCGCCGCGAGGAGCGCCTGGAGGCCGTCGTCGGGCTCCATGACGCGACGGGAAGGACGCCGCGCGCGCGACGACGAATGGCGTTTCGGACTTTGGTTTTCGCGCGGTTCGTGCGCGAGTACGGTGCTCTGTTACAGTACGTACTGTATAATCTGTGCGTTTGCTCATACGAAACGAGTACGAACGCACGGGCGAGCCGATTTCTGGAGCTCCTGTCGTCGTCGCTGCGCTCAATCGCTACCGCGCCTCCCGTCAGTTGCGACGACGCAAGGCACGAGACCGATGTCCACCGCCATGCTTACCCTCAAGCCCACCGCGACGGTGCGTCTCTTCCCTCGCCTCCGGCGTCGCGCGATGCCGTCCGCGCGCGTCGCGCCGCGCGCGCGCCGCGTCGTCCGCCCGTCCGTCCGTCCGTCGCGCTTCCGCTAGGGTCGTCGCCGCGAATCGCGCGCTGACGTCTCCTCCTCCTCCTCGCTCTCCGCAGGTCTCGCACGGCTCCAAGAGCGCGTTCGCGGCCGGGAACCTCACCGCGAAGTTCCAGAAGATGGCGATGACGACGCCGTCCCCCGTCGCGCGCGTGAACACGACCGTCGAGAGTGCGTCCCCGACCCCGACCCCGTCTCCTCGCGCGGCTTTTTAACCCTCGCGGGCGGGTTTTTCGCGCGTCGACGCGCGACGGCGTCCGCGCGCGCGCGCGCGGCGGCGACGCGCGCCCGCGCCCCGCGACCGCTCGCGCGAGGTCTCGAGGATGTCGCGCGCGCGTCGCGCGCGTCGCGCGCGTCGCATCTCGCGCGTCGAGGCGTCGCGCGAGCCGCGTCCGCGCGACATCCGCGCGTCGCTTTGGGGATAGGGTTCTGGTCCAGCCTCTCGCGCTCGCGGAATGCGCGAACGAATTTCTTCCTCGATCGATCTAACTCCTCGCCGTCGCCGTCGCCGTCGATCGATCGTCGTCTGACCTTCTCCTCCTCTCGCCGTCGCCGCCGACCTCGTCCCCGCAGACATCCACGGCAAGTCCGGGCGCAAGTGCATGCTCACGGGCAAGAAGGCGAACAACGGGTACACGGTGTCGTTTTCGCACATTCGCAACAAGAAGCTCCAGGGCGCCAACCTGCAGTACAAGCGCGTCTACTGGCCGGAGCAGCAGCGGTACATTCGGCTTCGCATCTCCACCAACGCGCTGAAGACGATCAACAAGGTTGGTCTGGAGAAGATGGCGGAGCGGGCCGGGCTCGACCTGATGTCCCTGGCGTACACGGACGCGGATCCGAAGCGGAGGGAGTGGCTCGTCGAAAACGGCGCGGCGCCGGCGAAGAAGAACAAGAGGGCGCCGACGGGGCCGAAGAAGCTGTTCGTGCCCAAGTGGAAGCAAGAGCGGATGGCGAAGAAGGGGCAGGACGTCGCGGCGGAGACGAAGAAGTTCGCTGAGCGGTGGGGCATGCAGACGGCGTGATTTGATGCGCGCGTCGAGGAGGGAGGGTGGAGAGTTGGCGTCGAGCGACATAGCCGGATCCGAATTGATTTTTACATAGAACGCGACCCGCGCAGACGCAACGAAACGAACCGAACCGAACCGAACCGAAACGAACCGAACGCCGTTCTCTCTCTTCCTTCACCACATAACCCCCGCCCGTCACGCCATCATCCTGAGGCAGTACTCCGCGCCGACGTCCGTCTCGAGCCCGAGGTCGCCGGGCCTCGCGCCCGCGGCGACGGCGGCTTCCGCCGCCGCTCTGTACTCGATCGGACTCTGCACGATGGCCCTCGCGATGTCGTCGGTGATCTTCTTGATGCCCTCGTGCGCGACCGCCCACGTCGGGTCGTACAGCGGCACGCCCGTGCGTCGCGTCGCGCGGTCCGGGAACTTCGCGTCGTTCACCTCGAACGCGACGCCGTACGTGTCGTGCGTCGCGATCAACGGCACCGCGTCGCCCGGCGTCACCTCGACCTCTTCGAGATGTTGTACCGCCTGCTGCCACGTCTGGCCTTTCGTGCCGTCGTGCGGGGACGTGCTCACGCGCACGTCGTCGTTCAGATGGAGTTCGAACCAGAACGCGATCGCGTTGAACACGCCCGGGCGGTCGATCTGAAAGGTCACGTCCATCGCCTCCGGTCTCAGCGTCTCCGCGGTGACGGCTTTGAAGTCGAACGAAAACGCCTCTGCGGGGGGCGCGAGCGGCGTCCACCGCTTCGCGTGCCTCTCGCGCTCGAGGTTGATGCCCTCGTAGTCTTTGCGCCACCGCCACCGGTTCGCCTGCGACATGTCGTACGTCATGGTCGTCGTACTCATAGTGTCGGACGAAAAAGTCGTAGCGTCGGAGGCGTCGTTCCCCTCTCCGTCGCCGACGTTGAGTTCGACGGAGAGCTCGCCGAAGCGCATCTCGATCGGCTGGCAGAAGATCGTCGCCCTCGCGGGCACGAGCGCCGCGTCCGTCGTCAGCAGCCGATGCCGCGCGAACGCGAGCGCGTGCAACACGCCCTCGCCGATGAGACCGCTGTCGAAGACCTCGAACACCATGAGATCCGCGAGCCGTTCCATCTCCGGCTTGGCGCCGTCCGGCTTGAGACCAAACTTTGGCTCCAAACCCGGGCTCTGAGACGTGAACATGTACCGCGTGTCTCGGTTCACGCACGTGATGACGCCCGCGAAGCCGTTCACGCAGACGTTCTCCTCGCCCGCGTCCGTCATGTGCCCGTCGCGCTCCGCCGCGGTGACGTGCGTCGCGCCCGCGCGCGCGGCCATCATCGAGAGGAGGCCGCTGCCGCTGCCGCAGTCGAGCACCTCGCATCGACCGCCGAGGCGACGTTTGGTCGCCGTCACCGCCGTCTTAATCGCGGCGTCGTACGCTTCGTTCCGCCCGGCGTCGTGGAGCATGTCGTAGTGCCACTGCGGGATGTGCGCGTGCCGCGGGCGCGTCGGCGGGGGCGTGGACGTGAAGAACACCTGGTCTTTATCCCTTCGCACGCGCAGAGAGATGGTCTCGGAGGCGTCCACGAAGGTCTCGTCGAGGTACTGCACGGCGACGCCGAACGAGTCCGCGTCGAAGTAACGCGTATCATCCGACCGTTTTTTCGTCGCAGCAGGTTCCTGATCGTCCCCTCCTCCTTCCACGGTGCCGGTGCCGGTGCCCCCCCACGGCGGCGCGACGCTGCGGAGGACCTCGCCGCCGCCGAGGTCGCACTCGAACCAAAACGCGACGGCGTTGAACGCGCCGTCCGCGACGACCGGGACGCGCACCTCGAAATCGTCCTCCCACGCCGCTTTCCCGCCGCCGGAGTTCTTCTTCTTCTTCCCCTCCTCTTCCTCCTCCTCGTCGTCTTCCTTATCCTTCTCCTTCTCCCTCAGCCGCCGCGTCAGGTCCACGCGCGTCACCTCGAAGACGTCCGATAACAACAAATGCGGCTCCCGCGCGAGCTCGAGCAAACGCGCCGCCTGCGGGTGCCACCGGTACGCGTTCAGCGAGCTCACGTCGAACCCGGAGACGGTCTCCATCCGCAGGCTCAACAGCGCCGCATTCACCGTGATCGACCCCGGGACGCAGACCGCGTCCGGGGTCACGAGGCCGCGGTCCCTGGCGTGGTCGATCGCGCGAAGGACGCCGAGCCCGAGCCCGGCGTTGTGATCGAAGAGGTCGGTGAGGAAGACGTCGGCAGGCGCGTCGATCGTCGCGAGCGGCGGCGGCGGAAGCGCCCCGGCGTCGTCACCGGCGGTCTCGTCGAGCTCGAGCGGCGCGTCGTCGCCTTTCAAGCGGCACGTCTCGAGCTTTTGATCGAGCAGCGTGATTCGATCGAACGCGTCGCCGAGCCTCTCTCTGTTGCTCCGAACGCACTGCTTCGCCGCGCGGTAACAAAAGCGGTTCCGCTCGACGACGATCACCCTCGTCGCGCCCGCCGACGCGGCCATCATGGGAAGCACCCCGCACGCGCCGTTCGCGACGGATACGATTCGCTTGTCGGGACACGCGCGCTTGACCGCTCTGGCGTACGCGGCGAGACGAGGCGCGTCGTCCAACGTTGGGAGGGTTCTTTTGATCGCGTCGAGCTCAGGATCGTTCCATACAAGCGAACGTCGGGGTGGAGTTCAAAGGCGTCAGTTGGCGTTGAAAGGCGTCGAGGGCGGGGATTGAAACCGTGGTGTGGGCGTCGAGAGGCGCCGGGAAAAGTCCTTCAGGAATGGCGTTCACCACGCGAACGCGGTCGTATGGGGACCAGTGTATAGAACGCACCTCCGCGACGGCGGCGGCGAATCGCAGCATCCCGGCTCGGCGTCGGTCGCTCAAGAACTTTTTCGCGTCGAGCTTCCTCGCGCGCATCAGCGGCAAGAACGTCGGGCGCCACTCGTAGTCGCTCGCGTCCCAGTCCGGGCCTGCGGAGGAAAGGAGGAAAGGAGGAAGGCGAGGCGTCGGCGTCGGCGTCGATCGAACGTCGATCGTCGACGGGGGACGAGGGACGGGGCGGCGCGAGCGGCACTTTCGCGTCCGACACTTTCTTCTCCGACACTACTGTACATACGCGCGACGCGCGCACCTTGCATCTGCTGCTTCCACCCCGTCTCCATCATCTCCTTCCTGTCCGCGTTCCTCGCGTCCTTCAGCCGTCGCGCGAGGTCGCGTCGCGTCGCGTACACCTGCGCCTCGGCGCGTTCGCGTTCATCCGCCGCGAGCTCTGACGACGCGGGCGATTCGATGGATTCATCGGTCAGTTGAAAGGGGACGCGATCAAACATTGAACCCAAGGGGTGGGTGAAAAACCAAAAGACGTGGGTGAAAAACCAAAATCACACGCACCCGATGCGGCGGCGAGCCGCTCTCGCACCGCGGCGTCCCCCGGCGCAATCTTCCGCGCCGCTTCGAACGACCTCTCCGCGAGCGCGTACTCCCCGTACGCCGTCAGCGCGCACCCGAGGCGGTAGTGCGCTTTCGCCCACGCGTCGTCCATCTGGACGCACCGCGCGGCGTCCTGTCCTCGGGGTCGAGGGAGGGTCCGCGCGAGGCGACGTCGGGGCGGAGTCGAAACGCGTCAGGCGGAGGAGTTGAAAGGCGTCGAGGTGTGTCGGGATTAAAAGCGTGGGACCCTGGGCGGAGAGAAACGAACGCCGGAAAGAAAAGTCCTTAATAATGAACGGCGTGCACCGCGCGGACGCGGTCGTGTGGGGACCGGCGTGGAAATAGAACGCGCCTCGATGGCGGCTTCGACGTCGCCGATCGCGAGAAAGGCGGCGCTGCGGTTGGAGCGCAGCGTCGCGTCCGTCGCGTCCCCGGCGATCGCCTGCGTGTACATCTGATGGACGGACGGCGACGTGACGCGATGACGATCGGAGGGAGGTCAGTCGTCGCGTCGGGGCGGGGCGGCGGCGTCGTTCGGAGGAGGGAGGGAAAGGATCCTTTCGGTCGACGAAAACGAACGAACGTGAACGCGTCGCGTCGTCGCACCGCGATCGCTTCGCGGTGCGCGCCTCGTCGCATCGCGTCGTTCCCCGCGCGCTTGCTCTTCTCGACCGCGAACTTGACGAGCTCCGGGGGAACGTCGGAGACGCTCGCGCCCGCGCGAGCTTCGATCTGCGCGAGGACGTCGGGCGGGACGTCGTGCCCGATCGCGGGCGGGGGCGACTTGGGCGACTTCGGCTTCGACGTCGGCGGCATCGGACGCGACGTCGGGGAGCGCGCGGACGGGTGGGCGGGCGGGCGGACGGCGCGACGACGCGCGGCGTCGCTCGACGGCGGCGACGCGACGCGACGCGATGCGATGCGATGCGAGCGAGTTCGAGTTCGATTCCGTCGCGGGCGCGGCGCGCGCGCGGGGAGAGATGCGCGCGACGGACGTCGGTCGACGATCGAAGGCGAAGCGTTTTTCGCGTCGCGGGGAGAGAAACCGCCGCGCGCGGTGCGAAAGTACAGCTCGCGTCTACTTTTCTGACTGTTCACTCGTACGAATCGTACGCGATGGGTTCGGAACCGCGGCCTTCGCGGTCAACATTCGCGCGACGTCCTCTGCTGAAAAGAGAATCGTGGCGAAGACGCGCGGGAAGGCCAGTCCGCACGCGCGCGCCGTCCGGAGCGCACGAGCGAGGGACCGCACGCGAGTTTTCTTTTCGCGCGCGCCGGGGCCCGGCGGCGGAGCGGAGGCGCGCGTCGAGGAGGCATCGCGGGTCGAGCGGAGCCGCGAGCGCGCCTAAATCGAGGAATTGGAATTCTCAATTCCCCGTCCGACGCCGCGGAGACCATGGGGTCCGGGGGCATCGGCAAGAAGAAGCAGGCCGACGTCCCCGCGGACGGCGGCATCGACAAAGTCCGCCTCGTCTACGTCGAGCTCGTGCACAACAACGCGCCGTTCGAGGAGCTCTTCCAGATCGACTTCGGCGGGTGGCGCGCGTTCTTCCGCGCGGTGAAGGACTTCGCGGAGGACCCGACGAGCGCGCTGAGCGAATGCATCGCGACCGGCATACTTCAAAAGAACGGCATCGCGTTCAAGGACTGGGGCAAGAAAGTCCGCGAGCGATCCCCGGCGTTCAAAGAGCAGTTCAACAGGTTCATTCACCTCCCCGCGGTGCGATACGCGCTCGCGACGGACCTCGGCATGGACCCCGCGGCGACCGACCTCACCGACGCCGACGGCAGAAGCGGGCCCGGCGGCCCGTCGATGAACCCGGCCGCGATCCGGGACCGCGACCGGTACGAACCCGCGAACGATTCCTACGACGAGCGGGCCGGCGCGGGAGGAAGCCAGCAGCCGCGGCGCCCGTACTCCCCGTCCGAGGGGGGTTACACGGCGAACGCGGATTCATCAATGCCAGCCGAGTCTCGGTATCACGCGAGGAAGCGCGCGGATCCGGACTCGCCGACGTCGCCGATGCTCGACCGGCTCGAGATGCTCCTGTCGTCCTCCCCCGTGGATGGACCAGACTCCCCCATCGAGCGGCTGCAGCGGACGCTGGACGAGAAGGACCCGGAGCCGCCGCGCGGGACGGCGGCGCTCGGCGCGGGGCCGGCGACGGCGCGGCGGCAGTTCGCGGGCGCGGGGTACGCCGCGATGGCCGCGCGGTCGCCGCCGCCGCCGCCGACGACGACGACCGGTGGCGGCGCGCTGGACGTGGACACCGCGCTCGCGGCGGCGACGGTGACGTCGCCGAACGGCTCTGTCGGCGGCGGCGTGCGAAACGTGTCCACCCCAGGCGTGCCGGGGAACCTCGTCCAGGCGCGTCCCATCTCACACCGGTCCCCGTACGACCGCGTCGGCGTGGTGAACGCCGTTTCTTAAGGACTTTCTCTCCCGGCGCATCTCTCCGCCCAGGGTCCCTCGCTCACAATCCCGACACACCTCCCTCGACGCCTTTCAATTCCGCTTCTGACGCCTTTCAACTCCACCCCGACGTCGCTTCGTATGGAACGGCTCTCAGGTGGACGTCAGCGACACGCACGTCACCGTGGAGTTTCACCGACGACGCGTCAGCGCGTACCTCGCCGGGTTCAAGAATCTCCTGTTGAACCTCCGCGATCACATCTCGAGCATCGAGCGCGCGGACGTCATGCACGTCGCGCGGACCGTGGAGGAGACGAACGCTCGGCTGGACGTCGCCATGGAGAAGATCGATCAGATGACGGCGGCGGAGGAGGCGACGCACCCGGGGCGGGAGGAGGTGGACGGGTACGCGGCGAGCGAGCTCGACGCGTACTCGCCGTGACGCGACGACTACTTGCCGTGGCGTGACGAAGCGGCGAGGCGAGGCGAGGCGCGACGGGCGGGGACGGCGCGTCGCGCTCGCTCGGGGCTGTGGTGTTTAACGCTATCTATATCTTATCATTGCTACGCTACGTCCGTCCGCGCGATCCACGTGAGGGTACTGTACCCCGACGTGTTCGGTTCCGTTCGTCCCCGACCGTCCGGTCCGGTTGAATCCAAACGACGACTGGATCGATCGATGGATCGATCGATCGATCGCGAAGACGTCGGCCGTCGGGTCGGTCTAGTCGTCGTCGGGACCGGCGGTTGCGCGAAACCCGACGGGAAACTTCTCCCAGACGGGCGGGTCGTACCCTCTCCCCCCCAGCGGGTTACACCGCAGGATCCTCCACGCGGTGAGCGCGAACCCGCGCCACGGCCCGTACTTTTTGTACGCGCTCACGGCGTAGGACGAGCACGTCGGCACGAACCGGCACGACGGCGGCGTGAGCGGGGAGATCTGCGTCCGGTAGAATCGAATGAGCGCGAGCGCGACGCGCGTGAGCGGCGCGTCCGCGGGGTCGTCCTCCGCGTCGGACGACGACGACGACGACGACGACGACGAGGACGAGGACGCGCGCGCCGAGTCCGCGTCGTCGTCGTTCGCGCCGCGGCACGGCGTCGGCAGAGGCGGCGCGCGCGGGAGATCGAGGCGTCGCCCCCGCGACGAGAGATGGAGACGTCGTCGCTCTCGCCCTTCATCGCCCTTCGTCGTCGTCGTCGTCGTCGCGGCCGCGCGCCTTCGGCAGCGGAGGCACGCGCGGACGTCGACGCGAGGTCGCGGCGACGACGCGCGCGCGCGACGCGGAGGGTCCCGGCGCGTCGGCGCGAGGCCGAGCGCGAGGCCGAGCGCGCGCGTCATGGGTGTGCGACGCGCGGTACCTTCCTTGGAGTCTCCCTTCCAGTCGCCGACTCGCGACCTGTTATGAGGCTCGAAAACCCGACGAAAAACTCGTCAACTCGATATCTCGAAAACTCGGCGTGACCGGCGCGGTAGCCGTGAACTTGGCGGTATCTGGTCCAACATGAGGCCCTGGATCGATTCAAGACATCATTATTGGAAACTTTGTCTGTCATCTTGCTGCGCGATGTCGCATTTTTCCACCGTCGCGCGTGGCGCCGACGACGACAATGGACGACACATTTTGACGTTTTCAGGTGGAAAAATTTCTCGCACGGCTAAATATTTTTGCCAGACGTCTCGGGTCGGCGTGTTCGCGCGGCCATGGCATCGCCGGAACGCCATGAATGACATCGCCACAGTGAGAAGAATTGTTCCTCGCAATGTATATCATCAGTATATTTAAGAAGATAACACCACTTGATGTGAGAAAAACGATGTCATTGGCGCCTGAAGAAGCCAGGGTCACTTTTTGCCAAAAAGTTTTCTCGAGTTGCCCGCTTCGAATAAACGCGAAGATGTGTCATCCATGGTCGTCGTCGGTGCCGTGCACGACGGCGTCGAAAGGCAATATCGCGCAGCAAGATCACGGAGAAAGTTTCTAATAACGATGTCGTGAATCGATTCACGGCGTAATGTTGGACCAGATACAGCCAAGTTTACGGCTACCGCGCCGGTCACGCCGAGTTTTCGAGATATCGAGTTGACGAGTTTTTCGTCGGGTTTTCGAGCCTCATACCTGTTTATCGTAGCGAGCGGCTCATGAGACTTCATCGTCTTCGTTCGTCGGCCGCGCGCCGCGGTCGTCTCAGTCGCGGCGTCGCGCGGGGAGGAGCCGCGCGCGCGATGAGCCCGCTGGGAAGGGGAATGCCCGCGCTCGTGTCGAGCCCGGCGCTGATGGCGGCGCTGCTCGCGTTCACGTGCGTCGCTCGTCCTCGCGCGCGCGGCCCCCCGCGGCGACCCGGACGGCGGGATCTATCTCCCCGCGGCCGCGCCTCCTCTCCCCCCCGCGCGTCGATCGATCGATCGATGATCGACGTCCGTCGCCCGTCGCCGCGTCCTCCTCTCCGTCGAATGATCCCTCCCTGACGCTCTCCCCGTCCGCTCCCTCTCCCGTCCGTCCCGCTCGTCTCGTCGTCGCAGCGTCGCGCAGGTGTCCAAGGTCTTCACGCACTGGCGCGTCCCGCCGCCGCCCCATCGCGCGTCCGTCGTCCGTCGTTCGCGCGGTCGTCGCCCGCCCCCCCGTCTCGCCTCCGGTCGCTCACGATCGCCCCCCCTCCCCCTCTCCCCCGCCCCCCACCCCGACCCCGACCCCAGGTACACGACCGGCAAGCTCGACTGGACGCGCGTCGTCGGCTCCGGAGGCATGCCGTCGTCGCACACGTCGCTCGTCGTCGGCCTCGCGACCGCGGTCGGGCTGAAAGAATCGTTGGACTCGTCGCTCTTCGCGCTGTGCCTCGTCTTTTCGCTCGTCGTCATGTACGACGCCACGGGCGTGCGCCTGCACGCGGGACGGCAGGCCGAGGTCCTGAACGAGATGATCATGAACCTCCCGGCGAACCATCCGGTCGCGGACGCGCGGCCGCTGCGGGATTCGCTCGGGCACACGCCCGTGCAGGTGGGCGTCGGGGCCGTCGTGGGACTGCTCGTGGGGTACCTGCACTACTCGAGTTGGGTGACGCAGTGGGGGGATAACTGACGGGGGGGAGGCGTTATTCTGGGTGTGAGGGCCCAGGAGGGAGATGAGTTATTCGTCGAGTAGCGGCGTAGATGGAGGAAGGGTTTTTAACGATCGACGGCGAGAAGCGTCGCGTCTTGAAGGGTCGTCGGAGCGCGCGCGGCGCGGCTCCGGAGAGCGTCCGTCCCGTCTGCGTCTGCGCCTCGACTTCGAGTGCCGTTTGAAACTCACGCAAGGCATCAGATAGATTCTCGGACGGGCGGAGCGCCGTCGCCAGTGCGAGCCTCGCCTCGCGAGGAGGAGCGCGCGGCGCGATGTTGGTCGCCGCGAACTCGGTGCGCGCTCCCTCGATCGCTCCCGCGCCGTCTCGCGCGTCTCGACCGCGGCGTCGTCCTCGTCCGTCCCGCTCGCGTCGTCGGTTTCCATTTCCAATTCCTCGTCGTCGTCGTCGTCGTCGTCGTCGCGTCCCGCGTCCATCTCATCACCCCGCCGTCCGTCCGTCTCCGACGACAGGGCACGACGTTCCGGTACGCCGCGGTGCCGGACGACCTCCGCGCGATGCACGCGGAGCTCTCCGCGCTCGGCGGCGGCGGCGACGCGCGCGTCGCGCGCGCGAGCGTGCGCGCGTCCGTCCTCCCCGCGCCGCTCCGCGCGGCCGCGGTCGGATCGACGCGCTACGACGCGTCCGACGACGACGCGCGCGGGATCGTCTCCATCCTCTCCGGCGACGCGTCCGCGGATCGCGATCGCGCGACGACGACGACGAAAGTGCTGTCGATCGCGGACCCGGCGTCGTCCTCGGCGCGAACCGGCCCGTTCAGCGAGCCGAGGCCGCCGCGGCGATACCGCGTCGACGACGCGTCCGACTTGGGCGCGTCCTATACACTGGTTCCCATACGACCGCGTTGGCGTGGTGAACGCCGATCCTTAAGGACTTTTCCCGGCGTGTCTCTCCGCCCACCCCTTGCGTTCAATCCCCGACCTCGACGCCTTTCAACTCCACTTGACGCCTATGAACACCACCCCGCCATCGCTTTGTATGGAACGACCCTCAGGCGCGGCTCCCGCGTCACTCGCGAAGGACGCCGCCGCGTGGGTGATGGAAGGGTTCGACGCGACGATCGTCGCGCACGGGCAGAGCGGCACGGGGAAGTCGCACGCGCTCTTCGGCGGCGGCGGCGGGGCGTACGAGACGACCGACGCGGGCGGGGGCGTCTTGAGCGGATGCGTCGGCGAGATGTTCAGACGCGCGACGGCGACACGCGCGAAGCGCCGAGACGTCGCGTTCACGTTCGGGATGTCGTCCTGGGAGATGACCCCGAGCGGGGAGACGCGCGACCTGCTCGAGATGACCCCGAGCGGGGAGGGCGGCTCCGAGAACAACCGCGAGCCGACGACGGTGCGCGTGACGTGCGCGGAGGAGGCGGAGGCGGCGGTGGCGGTGAGACTGCTTCCCATACGACCCCGTTCGCGTGGTGCACGCCGTTCCTTGAGAACTTTTCCCGTCGTCACTCTTCACCCGCGCTTCCCTTTCAACGTTTGACCGGTAAGACGTTCGACTGACCGATCGCTTCACCCACGCAGGCGGCGCGGACGCGGTCGACGAACTGGACGACGCCGACGTCGTCCAGTTCTTTCGCGGGCGCGGTCGCGCGCGTGCGCTCGAACCGCGCGCACGCGTTCGTGAGAGTGACGGTGATCGTGGACGACGGCGCGGAGACGCGCGCGTCGAGGCTGCACGTCGTCGACTTGATGGGGTCGCGGTCCTTCCGCGGCGGCGACGCCGACGCCGGCGCGGCGGCGGCTTGGGAACGAGACCGGAAGCTCGCCGCCGCGCAGCTCCTCGCGTTCAGCCGCGTCGTCGACGAGCTCTCGAAGCGGAGAAGCGTCGTCGGCGTCGACGAGTCGCCGGTGTTGAGCGCGAGGGACAGCGCGCTGACGACGCGCTTGACGCCGCTCCTCGCGGGCGGGGCGAAAACGTTTTTCCTCGCGTGCGTGTCCCCTCTCGAGGAGGATTACCTGGACACGCTGAACACGCTCAGGGTCGCGCAGCGCGCGGAGAAGATAGAGGTCGCGTGCTTCAGGTCGACGACGACGACGGACGACGAGAAGAGAGACGGCGCCGACGCGACGGCGGCGTTCGTGTCTTTGCGAGACGTCGTCGCCGGCGGCGGGGAGAGTCGGCGCGCGTCGCCGTCGCCGTCGCCGTCGCCGTCGCCGCCGCCGCCGCGGTCTCCCCCTCGCGCGCGCGACGCGAACGCGCACACGGCGTCCGCGCCGAACGGCCTTCTGAGCCCGATACGCCCGGCGAAGCTGCCGGAGGGTCTCGCCCCCGACCCGAGCGGGGAGGTAAGGAGGAGGAGGCTCGACCGTCCGTCGCCGCCGCCGCTCGAATTCGCCGCGCCGCGGACGACGACGACGAAGACGACGACGACGACGACGGAAGGGAACGACGACGACGACGACGACGACGGCACCCCGGACTTTGGGTTCGCGAAGCCCGCGACGTCGAACGCGCTCGGGAACCGCCTCGAGGCGCTCAAGGCGGAGTTTTCGAACGTGTACGACGACGTCACGGGCGGCGGCGGCGGCGGCGGCGGCGCGGAAGATGAGGACGACTACGACGCGTACTTCCAACCGGACGACGGCGGCGACGGCCCGGTGTACGTGCCCCCGGGAAAGGAGGGAACGACGCCGAAGTCCTTGACCAATCGCGCGCCGGGACGCTTCCCTCTGGACGCCGCGAGCGCGGCGGCGGCGGCGGCGGCGGCGCGACGCGGCCTGGTCCCCGACGGCGACGAAGATTTACGCAAAGAGGTCGAGGAGTCCAGGCGGCGGTACGACGCGCTTCTCGGGATGCTCCGCGCGGAGGAGACCACGCGCGCGGACGTGGAGTCGCGCGCGCACGCCGCGGTCGCGGATGCGAACGAGCGCGTCGTCGCCGCGGAGGCGGCGGCGGCGGACGCGAAAGCCGCGGCGACGACGGCGAAGGCTAGACTTCGCGCGGTGGAGTCGGCGAGCGATTTCGCGGACGTTTTCGAACGCTACGACGCGGACGCGACCGCGCTGCGACGCGAGTGCGCGCGGCTCAGGGAAGAGTGCGTGGACGCGCACGTCGCCGCGGCGCTGACGTCGAGCGCGATCGCGGAGATGTTATCGAACGGCGGCGGCGGCGGCGAGGGGGGGGACGTCGGGGAGGGTCTCGAGGAGTATTTCCGCGACGGCGGCGAGAGCGACGACGACGACGGCGGCGACGGCGACGCGGAAGCGCGGCGCGGCGCGCGCGTCGTCGCCGCGAACGCGGACGTCCAGCGACGCGTCGGGTTCCTGAAAAAGTCGCTCAGACGCGCGGAGAGCGAGCGACGGAAACTCGAGGAGGAGTTCTTAGAAATTCGGAAACGAGAGCGCGCGTTTCACGTGCACAAGCGCGGACGCGAGGACCAGATCGCGCGGCTTCGACGCGCGGAGACGAGAGAGGCGCACGCGGAGCGAGAAGCCTCGAAGCTGCGCGCGGAGATCGACGCCGCCGCGCGAAGGGTCGCGGAGGCGGAGCGAGTCGCCGCGGAGCGCGTGGCGTCGTGCGCGAGGAAAGACGACGAAAACGACGCCCTTCGCGAGGACCTCAAGAAGCGCAACGCGCGGATACGACAACTCGAGCAGCGCGAACAAGAGGTGAAGCTCCTTCGGAACAGCGGGAGGTTCGACTCCGCCTTGCGCAGCGACCATCACCTTCGCGGGTCGGCGGGCGGGTCCGGCGGAGGTCCCGCGGATGACGCGTTGAGAGCGACGGACGAGCTTCGACGGTCGTTGCCCGCGGGGTCTTCGTCGCGGATGGACGGGCTGTTCGACCGGCTCACGAGGGAGATCGAGGCGAGCCTGACGACGCGGTCGTCCGAGATGCCGCGACCGGTGCGAGGGTGGGACTCGAGCACGGGGAGAAAGGCGACGGGGACGTACGACCCTCCGGGCGCCGGTAAGACGGGCGGCGTCGGCGGCGGTGGCGGCGTCGGCGGCGTCGGCGTCCGCGGGAGCGGCCGCAGGTCGTCGCCGCTGAGGGAACGCGGGTCCTTCGCGAACGACGACAACGCGAGGAGGAGCCCGGAACGCGGCGGCGTCGAGAGGGGCGGCCCGGTCGGCGCGAGCGGCGGCGGCGGCGGCGGCGGCGCGACGCCGCCTCGTCGTCGGCCGGCGCGCGCCGTGCCGAAACAGCTGCGGCTGATTCGACCGTCCACGGCCGGGGCCGCCCCCCCCGCGCCCGCGCTGAAGTCGAAACCGAGGTACCGCTCGCCGCCGCCGCCGTCGCGCGCGTCTCGAGAGGGCTTGGGATCTTGGGCGGAGGCGGCGGCGGCGGGCCGTCGGGGGCCGGCGCCGGCGCCGCCGTCGCCGTCGCCGTCGCCGTCGCCGCCGAGGGGTCGCGGCGGCGGCGCGGCGGCGGCGGCGCGGGCGACGTCGAGGTCGCCGCCGGTCTCGCCCGCGCGCTCGTCCAGGGCGGGCGCGGGGTGGTATTGAGGAGTCTTTCCGGAGCGAGAGGAGTGGGCGGCGAAAGCGCGGAGAAGAGAAACGCGCGAAATTTAATGGGTCTGTCGCGCGTCCTCTCATCAATGGTTCTAGGGTCTGGTCTGGTGTCGAAACAATCGAATCGATTAACTCGAAAACGACGGTTTAAATTCTTCGCGTGCGAGAAAAAAGCGGTGTCGACGTGTACAAACGGACGTCCCTCGAGGATAAGCGCCTCGCGATACGCCGCTCGCGGCGCGCGCGCGACGGGACGCATCGCGCGCACACCGAGCCGCGCGTCCTTCGCCCGCCTCCCACGCCTCTCACACCATAATGGCGTCCATCGCCGCGCATGCCTCCGCCGTCTGCCGCGTGACCGCGCCCCGCACGGGCGCGCGCCGCGCGTCCAAGGCGCGCGCGACTCGCGGCGTCGCCGTCAGGGCCGCCGTCGATCTGAACGGTGCGCCACCTGGAGCGTCGCGTTATCGAAGAGCGACTCGCCGCGATCTTTATCCCCGCCGGGTCGACGCGCGCGCCTCCTCCTCCGCGTCGTCGATCCTTCCCTCGCGAAACTCGCGCGCCGCCGCGTCGCATCGATCTCGATCTGACGCGCGCACCCCCGCCGCCTCTCTCTCTCCCTCCCTCCCGATCCGCGCGCGCGCGCAGAGGTCACGGTCGCGGACACGAAACAGAAGTTCTTGAAGAGCTACCCCTACCCGATCCCGTCCATCTGGTCCGTCGCGCTCCAGGAGCTCCTCGTGACGCAGCACTTCGTGCGATACTCCAAGAAGTACTCGTACAGCAAGCTGTCCTCCCTCGGGTTCGTGTCCGTGTACGATCAGCTCTTCGAGGGGTTCCCCTCGGAGGAGGAGAAGAACACCATCTTCGAGTGCTTCGTGAAGGCGCTCGAGGAGGATCCGGCGACGGTGCGAAAAGACGCGGCCGAGCTCGCGTCGTTCGCGGAGGGCGCCAGCGGCGTCGACGGCGTCCTCGCGTCCCCGATCTTCGCGCAGATGAAGTCCCTGGTCGCGGACGGGAAGTTCGCGTACTCGAGGTACGACGCCATCGGCTTATTCCGTCTGCTCGAGCTCGCCAAGGCGACGGAACCGGCGGCGTTGGAGAAACTCGCGGAATCGTCGGGGCTTCAGGCGCGTTCTATACACTGGTTCCCATACGACCGCGTTGGCGTGGTGAACGCCGATCCTTAAGGACTTTGCCCGGCGCATCTCTCCGCCCACCCCTCGCTTTCAATCCCCGACCTCGATGCCTTTCAACTCCATCTGACGCCTTTGAACTCCACCCCGACGTCGCTTTGTATGAAACGACCCTCAGCTGACCAAGGTGAACGGCGACTTGGGGCTTTACAAGGGGTTGCTCGCGAAGCTCGCGGCCGCGAAGGAGCTTCAGAAGGAGATCTTCGAGCGGGAGAAGCGGAAGACGGCGGAGCGGGAGGCGAAGAAGGCGGAGAAGGCTGCCGCCGCGGAGAAGGCGGAGTGATTAATCACTCGACTCGATTCGGTTCGATTCGATTCGGTTTCTCGGAACGCCTCTGAGGTGCGTTCTATACACTGGTCCCCATACGACCGCGTCGGCGTTGTGAACGCCGATCCTTAAGGACTTTGCCCGGCGCATCTCTCCGCCCATCCCTCGCTTTCAATACCCGTCCTCGGCGCCTTTGAACTCCATCTGACGCCTTTGAACTCCACCCCGACGTTCGCTTGTATAGAACGGCCCTGAAACGCGGACGAGTCGAAGGCGACGGGCGGGGGCGGCGACGCGCCCGCGTCGCGAGGTCGACTCTCTCTGTGCGTTCTGAGAACACGAGTGGGGGTGGTGGGTGTTTGGTGTGACGTGGCTCGCGCGTGAGTCCCGTCTCGTTATTAACTAGTCGCTCTCGACGACGCGTCGCGTCGGCGATCACAGCTGTGAGACTTGTAATTCTTCAGTCGCCGACGCGAAAATATACGCACAGTGCGCACGACCTTCTACGTCCTCGCGCGTGCCCTCAACTCCGCGCGGCGCGCATCCGCTCGAGCGCTCTCTCGTACATCCCGCCCACCTCGCCCGATGGAGGCGCGCCGTCGGACGGGTCCGGACCCGGACCCGGCCGCCGCCGCGCCGCCGCCGCGCTCGCCGCGCCGCGGATGGGGACGCCGTCGCGTTCGCACAACATCGCGTCCAACCGCTTCAGCTGATTCACCCGCGCGGATATCTCCGCGGTGATGACGCCGCGGTGCCTCTCCCCCAACCCCGCCGCGTCCATCTCGCGCAAGAACGCCCACCGCTCGTCGATCTCCCGCGCGATCGCGTCCACCATGTCGTCCGCGGTCATCTTCGACGCGTCCGCCGCCCCCGCCGCCGCCGCGCGTCGCCGCGCCTCCGTCGCTTCCTTCTCCTTCTCGCGGCGCACCGCGGCGGCGACCCTGGCGCGCGCGGACGTCGTCTCGCCCCACTCCATCGTCGCCGCGAGCGCGTCCTTCGCAGCCTCGTTGTCGCGGCCGCGAGGGAGGGAATTCGCGTCGTACGGCTCGAGCGGCGACGCGTCGCGGTCGATGGCCGCCTTGGTCTTGACGCCGCCGCCTCTCCAGGCGCGGCCGCCGCCGCCTGATCCTCCTCCTCCTCCTCCTCCTCCCGCGCGGCCTACCCTCGGCGCGATGACGCCGTGCGTCGCCGCGATGGAGTTCCTGCGCGACGACGACCGGCGCGCGGACGCGGTCGTCGAAGCGTCGTCGCGCATCGGCCGTCCCGTCGCCGCGCGTCTCAGCGCGTCTTCAACCTCGCGTCTGGACGCGCCGCTCGCGCGGAGCGTGTCTGGCGGCGCGCGCGATCGAGGAAGGAGGGAGGGAGGGAGGGAGCGAACGTCAGCGGAAGGGAGGGCAGCGGGACGGGACGGGATGGACGACGCGACGAGGGAGAGGAGGGATGAAAACGGAACGGCGTTCGTCGGAGTTGACCGGTACCGGGGCTCGCGCGTCGTCGGATCCGCGGCGACGACGCACCGGCTAAGAACGCCTCCGTCTCCTTCGACAGCGTTCCGCCTCGCTTCGCGGGACCAGAGCGAGGGGCGAAGTTCATCTCCGACGGCGACGCGGTCGCGGCGCGGCGGCGGCTCGCGCGGCGGTGAGTAGTGGCCGTTGTTGCCGTTGGCCGAAAACGTTTTCCCAGCACTGCACCTGGGTTGATTCCAGTTCATCGGTCCGTTGAAAGGTACAGCGATCAAATGTTGAAACCGAGCGGTGAACGTTTGTATCGACGAACGCGCCTGAGGATCTCTCGTCACGCTCGCGCTCTTACTCTTCGCGACGACGCTGCGCTGACCGGCTGACGAGGCAGGCGCGTCCCGCGAGGCTCCGCTTTCGCACGCGCGCGCGCTCACGCGACGCCTCGTCGCGAGATGAGTTTCCTCGAGGGCATCAAAGCCATCCCGGGGGTGCGTCTCGCGCGCGCGCTCGGCCCCCTCCGCGCGGTCATCCCCCGCGCCGGCGTCGCGCGCGCGCGCGACGAACCCTCGTCGCGACGGAACAATTCATTAGGAAACGCGCTCGGATTTTAATTCGCGCGTCGCCGCTCACCCATCCCTTCCCTCCCCCCCCCTCCTCCTCGTCGTCGTCGTCGTCGTCGTCCCTCCCCTCTCCAGGACATAGGCTCGGTCCCGACGGGCAGAGGGAAGCTCAAACGCGCGGCGGAGATCGGCAAGGTCCTCGTCGACGAAGCCCTCGGCGTCGTGCGCGCGATCCCGTACGGCGTCCGCGCGCTGCGCCTCCATCGCTCGCTCCCGGACGCGGTCGCGGGAGCGCGCGACGCGCGCGGCGTGCGCATCGTCCGCGACGTCCGCTACGCGAGCGCGCCGCGCGCGGTCATGGACGTCTACCTCCCCGACGGCGCGTCGCTCGCGAACGGCGCGGGCGCGATCGCGGACGCGGTCGGAGGACGAGGCGGCGGCGGCGGCGGCGGCGGCGGCGACAGCGACTCGAGCGCGTTCCCCGTCGCGCTGTTCGTCCACGGCGGGGTCTGGGCCGTCGGCGAGAAGTGGCACTTCGCCCCCATGGCCTCGAGACTCGCAGAGGAGGGCGTCATCGCGTGCGTCGCAACCTACACGCTGTTCCCGCGCGCCGAGGCGGATCAGGTGCGTTCTATACAAAATGTTTTCACCAACCGCTCGGTTTCAACATTTGATCGCTCCCCCTTTCAACTGACCGGTGAACTGTTCGTTACAGATGTGGCGCGAAGTCTCCGACGCGGTGGGCTTCACTCTGGAGAACGCGCGCGGATTCGGCGGCGACGACGCGCGCGTGTCGCTCATCGGGCACAGCGCGGGCGCGCACGTGTGTTCCATGGCGCTTCTGCATCGGTGCGGGGTCGTGAGCGACGACGTCGGCGGCGGCGCGTCGGCGGACGACCCCGCCGCGAGGCGCATGCCGAAACAATTTTTAGGTGCGTTCTATACACTGGTCCCCATACGACCGCGTTGGCGTGGTGAACGCCGTTCCTTAAGGACTTTTCCTGGCGTTTCTCTTCGCCCACCCCTCGCGTTCAATACCCGCCCTCGGCGCCTTTCAACTCCTCCATCTGACGCCTTTCAACTCCACCCCGACGTTCGCTCGTATGGAATGGCCCTTAGGCCTCTGCGGCGTCTACGACGTGGGGAGGCACTACGAGTACGAGGACAGCCGCGGGGTCGCGCTGCTGTCGACGATGGGGCGCGCGATGGGCGGGCGCGAGAAGTTTCCGCAGTGCTCGCCCGTGAGGGTCGTGCGCGGGAACCGCGGCGCCGTCGGCGGGGAGTACGCGTACGACGTAGAAGACCCTCAGGCGCGTTCTATACGCTGGTCCCCATACGACCGCGTCGGCGAGGTGAACGCCGTTCCTTAAGGACTTTTCACGTCGTGTCTCTCCGCCCAGCCCTCGCTTTCAATCCCCGACTGCGACGCCTTTCAACTCCAACTGACGCCTTTGAACTCCACCCCGACATTCGCTTGTATAGGGGATCCTCAGAGTCGACC